TTTGGATGAACTAAAAAGCTTAAGAGTTCAAAGTTTTTTTGAGGTCAGTGCGTAATAGGATATGTGGAAATGAAAGTCAGCCAGGCCTACAACTAGTCAAAAAGCTGGCTACGCCCCTGGCTAGAACAAGGCATAATAGACCATTTCACAGTTGTGGGCTTAGTTTCCTAGCATTTGAGTGAACATGAAGCTAAAGTCGACCTTGTTTTGAGACAAAACTCTTTCCTTTTCTTAAACCAAGGATAAAATTGAACCACAACATATACATGGTATTTATTCAAACGTGTACAATGACAGTTGGGCTGATATGGTCATGTGCTCAAATGTAAAACACAAAAAATTCATATATATCTATATATTTCTGATTATAATCAATTGTACCAAGAAACTAACCTTTATTGCAAAAGAAATAAATCTTTATTGAACGTCTCCGATGGTCGGGGGAGGGGGGGGGGGCACTCAACAAAGTGTTTAATACCGGGAGGCTTCACTCCAAGGTTTAACCCCTAACCCTCTTATGTATCATTAAATTGAGAGTTTCTATTCACGAATGGTATCCCTTTCACATACCCAATTCAAAACACTGCATAATTATTTCTGAATGCATAATCTTTTTATTATGAATCAATCAGTGAATTGCGAAGTTTTTGTGTCTTTTAGTTACATCCTTGAAATGCATCTGTTGGTCTTTAAGGTCTTTAAAATCTAAACTGAAAATATATACAAAACATGGAGTCCTGGTCCATGGACTACCCCTGTGGACCAACCCTACTTTGAAGATTTTTACAAGTCGAGTCTTAATGAATTTTACAAACCTTAAATGGACAAAACTTTGTCAATTTAAAATTATACTATCAGGATTAAAGGCTTCTCATATTACACACTTGCTCATATTTTTTTTTCTGAATTCCACACAATGGGTTTGGTTTAGTCCGGAAGGAGAAACTATTTGAAGAGGACATAATGATATCTAGGGAGGAAGTATTCACTTATGCAGCTTTTTTTGTGCGTACGTTGCTTGTCACGATCAACTTAAAAATGGGTGCGACGGCCGGTGCGACGAGATTGCAGCAGAAGATCTAATGCATTATGATTGAGTACCCACCCCAGACTTTCCTTTTTCCCTTTATAGCCCTTGGATGAAAATGTTTATTGGTTGGCAAACTTATTGAATCCTGCTCACCAATCAAAAACAAAATGACCTGCATATTATCAAACAATGCGGTTTGTCAGACGCACGTCTTACCATCAAGAACAGAAAACAATCCTCACAACAAAGACTGTGGCAAAAAATTTGTCCTTTCATGGTGCCAGTGATGATGCTTTGACAGCTGGCTCTCACTTAGGGTTTAGCACTCACCCGAGAAGTGTGCTAAATCATAAAAAAAGGATTGCCCTGGAAAAAGCATCTACAAGACACAAGGATCGTTGAGAGTGCCATAAAGGTACATATTTACATACCTGAAAATTCATTATTAAACATCTGCCTGCACAACACCCTGGCCAAAACAATAAGTTGACACAAGGTGAGGTGGCTGGATATAAGAAGCAGGGGCTAAATAGAAGGCACAAGGACCTTTGTAACAAGGAGACAAAAACAACAAAAAATAGAGTGATATTATTTGAACGTGAAACAGATATTAACAAACAAGCAAAATAGCAAGAGGTAAACAAAAGAAGACAATGGAATTAATACATAATAGTCGTAATATTCTTCTACCTGTGTTTCAATGTTCAAGTAAAATGACTTTAATTTATCAGTCCATAGATGTACACTGATCCAGTTAAAATTTCCTCCCCAACAGAACAACAACTTCCTCCTGCTCATTATAGATGATTTTCATTGTGTCCAGTCTATAAAAGACCCCAAACAGAATGCCAGCTGAGCAAGTGCCTTCACATGTGTACTGGAGTAGTGGATCACCAAGAATCTATACTGGCAATGCCAACAACAAGAAATGTCCACCGGTTGTACCTGTCCGAATTGCTGGGGGGTAAATTGTTAACTGGGGGGAGGAATTGATGCCAACAAAGTGAACTAGTTGTTTCAAGAGCTTTGTTTTGTCAAATTATTTTGGCATTTCAGTTATTTAGACTCTCTACCTGCTGATTTCAGCCAGTTTGACCTGACAAAATGTAAACAAAGTTTAGTTGAATTAAGGTATGATTTACAACAAATCAGAAACCTAAAAGTCAAGGTAGTGGTCTAATAGTCATTGGGTGCCATGTTTGTACAAAAAAGAATAATATAACACTTTTTAAGTAATAGATTTTAGTAACGTATTTCATCAAACTTTTTCATGCCATTTAACACTTTGGCATAAATCAATGCCACAGAAATTTTACAATTAACTGGCACCATAAATATCTTTATTATAAATTCCCCTCAAAATGAAATTGGCAACTCCCAATGTCAATAACTAGTTTTACATACAGCCCATCATAAATTTTTCCACATACCACTTTGCACATTGTCTCACAAGTAGAAATTTGACATGGAAAATTTAATATTGAAATGGATAATTGACTTTCAAAAAATGTTATAAGGGTGCCAAAAAAAGCATATATACAATGTTTCATGACAAACAATAACAAATAGCATGAGAGTGTATACAGATGAGATGAGGCCACACTGTGGCCACACATTTTACAAAAAAGTTGTCTTGGTAGTTCCTCAAACTGTAACGACATATAACTACTGTATGGTATCAGAATACCCCATTTGTTCGAGCAACTTCGTTGAAGAATCCAAGAACTTGCAGACACAGTTTCAACAAAGGTTTTACTGGCAGGAAATGATGAAACTGACAGAAGCAATGATAATCATGATGACGGCGATGATGATGGAAGGACAACTCAGATGACGATGACAGTGATGATGATGATACAAAACCTGCTACAAAGAGAATACCCATTAGCAAAACAATCCCTTTTGCATCTTCCACAAAGTGCTTTTATTTACACAGCAACAAAAATTCCAAGAATGTAACCCACCGACTCTACTGGAGAAGCGGTATTGAGCATTATTTAGTATGGTGTGTGTCACATGTGGCAGGGTCTGTAAGAAAGGGGGCTTGACTCAGCATCAAACACCCACAAAGGGGTAAAATATTAAGTGTTCCCTGAAATAAGAATAACAAAACAATAATCATTTCCTTTTTTTGAAGCAAATCCAAACAAAATAAACAAGCCCTTTGTTTCATATAAAATACCTTGAATAGAATGGGCATGATAACATAGAGGAGAAACCAAATAATGCCTTTGTTGTTGCTTTTGTCTTATAGGTATCTCAAAACAATGCAACTAGCTAGATAACAAATAAGATAGTGATCTTGTGCTTGCACATTGAATTTGGGTCCATAATATTATATGAGATCTTTTATTATAAAAGACGTTAACCTCAGCCCAAGCACTATGCCAGTGAAAAAATATAGTGATAGTCCTGTAAGAATACTAATAAGGGACAAATGATGCTGAGAGTAAGATAGTGTCTTCAAATATTCGATGTTATTTTGAACATGTAAATATACCATCAAGTTTGTGTACACTTACAAATTGCTTCATGTAAATTGCCATTCATTCAGGTCGAGAATGTTGCCGTTACAAAAATTAATACTCATAGACATTAAGCTCCCTTCGGAGTCTCATATGCACCTGTTTTTTTTTCTAGATTTTCACGTAACGTGAAGACAAAATAAAAGAGCTGCATAGGAGACTACTTCCTCCATACCACTCCTCCTGATCCCTTCAATTATTACGGTTACTTTTTCACAAGAGTAAAACGAACCCATTTAAGTGGTATGAAATTGCAAAAAAAATAAAATTGAACAAGTGTGAAATATAAGAGCCTATATTTTACCCTGATAATAACGACTCACCAGAGTTTCATTCATTTAAGGTTCGTAAAATTTGTTTAGACCTTTGGTAAAATTCATCTGCAAAATTAGGGGTGGTCCATGGACTTGTACTGGGGATCCGTGTTTTATATATGTCCGACTGAAATAACATTTTTCCCTACCCTTTTATATACTTCAGCTTGTATAATCCCCAGCCCATCATATACTCTTTTAAGTGGAGCCTCCTCAAATAGGCTATCATAGAGAATACCCCCAGGGATTTAACTCTCTGTTCTAGAAGCAAACAGAAAGTAAACCAAAGCCATTTTTATTTCAAATCTTTTCAAAATGATATAGGGAAATATTATTTTGTTTATTCCCCAGCATTGTGTTATAAAATTCAACACAGTTCCCGAATTGGAGTCTGAGTGGGCCACCTGTGCTCAGACTTGATAAAAATTCCGGCCTAAAAAATTCATGCAACTGGTTTCCACAAATTATTACAACATTGTAGCGACACTAGAATTTTCTTATAATTATTATTATTAAAGAAATGTACATAAGTTAGTGTATTTTGTGATGGCTCAGTCGAAAATTATAATAATAATGAACATTATTTAAGTCTCATGTCTTAAAGCTCGGCACAGTACCTTACTAATTCAGGGGAGACTGTACCATATATATAAAACTCTAGTAACATATTGTAAATTCTAAGTATAATTTAAACTAATTATTTTGTAATTAACAAATAACTACCTAATAATATCTCTGAATCTTAAATTGAGTAACTCTAAAAAACGGTAAAATGGTGAAGGGAACTAATGCTAATTCTTGCAAGGACATAGTCGATACACGAGTCATCTATTAACAAGGCAATGTCCGTCTTTCTGATGACTTTTTTAAAGTTACTGATTGTATGTGCTGATCTTAGCTCCCGGTTAATTTTGGACCAAAGAAGTGGTCCAAAATGCCTGAGAGAGTGTTTGCTCTATTTTATAGTGTTGTTACTGCCAAGGATACCCATCATCCCCCTTCCCCGGGGTCAGCATTTGATAGCATTTGCCATGGTGGTGGTGGTGGAAGGGAGGGGGGGATTTTGTCATCAAAGGTCCCCTAGGGGTGGCACAATTGTCATTGTTGAATTTAATGTTACTTTAAACACAGATTGCCTTCCACAGGTCACCATGCTATGGATATATTGACAGGAGGGTTGACTTGTGGAAATCTTTATCATTGAAGGAGATGGAAATCAGCCTGAAAGATCAAAACAAGGTCATATCCTGCGTGTCCTACGGCAGGTGAAAGACGTTTTTTCCAGAATGAAATATACTTACATCCTCTAACTTGAGACATCACAAGAGTCCCAGGGACATTTCCAGGAGATCTCCATCAGTTTGGAACTTGACCCAAAAGTCACTTGACAAGATGAACCAAACAAACATTGTTTGCCCGGTCTATTGACGTTTAGAAATTCCATCAGGTCGTGTTTGTTTCGCAGGCAAGGTTAATTCAAGCTATTTCCAATCCAGTCTTAAAATCAGGCTGTTACTTGTCCCCGAGGTCCATGACCAATAAAGAAAATTCTCCAACTTCAGACGAAGAGCAGTTTGGAACTTCATGGTCTGCTCATCCACTGCATTAAAGAAAAGGAAAGTACTATAAGTAGACTATCTCGCGATGTTGAATGTGGGAAAAGGCGTCCTGTGGGTTGATCCCGAGTATTGACAACTGTAAACTCATAAATTTCGCTTGTTTCTTCGCACACGTCTTCTTTTTCCCGTTTTTTTCTTACGTGAATGCATCCTTTTCTAAAAGTGCTTATTTTGAGTCAAGAATTTCATGAAAGTAAAAAGAAAAAAAGTTGAGCTGAGCAGCAGAACCCTCCCCGGGTCTAGCCTGCGAGCAGGGTCTCTCAATGCCCCACCAAAACCCAACCCTCCCCTCAATCCCGGCAGCCAGAGACTTTGCTCGCAGGCTAGACACCTCCCTTCCCCTCTCTTCCCTTCCCTTCCCGCTTCCATCCCTCCGCCCTCTACCTATCTACCTATCTAACTATCTACCTACCCCTCTAGCTACCAATCTACGTCTCTACCTACCCCCCTACCGCTTGCCGCCCTCTCCCTGCCCTCCCTACGGCCCACCCCCGGGCCGGTGTACCAATTCCCGCTTCTTATACTCTTCCTAAGGCCTTTTTTCTTTCCTCTCCTCGCCCCAAGCCCACCCAGATTCAAGCCGCGCTGTTTTTCTTTTTTTTCTTTTTTTATGCTAATCAGGCGGGACTCGAACCCGTCACCTCTTTGTTTGCCAATTAATTACCAATTCAATGCTTATGCCAATTGCGCTATCCCTTCTTGGTTACAAGTTCAATGGTGTTTTTGTATGTTATTTATATGCAAATCAAATTCTTGTCCCTCATTGGCTGTTGAAAATAATGACATCATGATCTTTCGGCCCAGAGGTCCCTGTGGTCCTACAGGTACAAGAACCAAAACAAACCAAAGTTTCCCAAACATAATAGAAACTGTAGCCTTCTCAGCTTTGCGAAAGCTTCTTTTCAATGGATTCTTGTATCTTTCTGACCGCTGGTACATTTAAAAAAGCACTTAGCGCTTTCACCTTTTTTCGACGGGCATTTTTGATTTTAGCTGAAGTTTTGTATAATATTGAAATACTTGAAGTGTCCGTCGGTGCGTTTGCTTTCAGTTGTGATCACAAGAAACAGTTTCTGCACGGTTAACAGTGATCAACATCAATTTACATTCTCGCTATATATCCTACCATTGAACAGTATCAATCAAAAAAGGCTGAAAATAGAGGAAACTGCTCAGCAGCGAAAACATTGTGATTTCTAATCAAATTGTCCTCGTTAGTGCCAGATGAACGGCAAAGGAATGAGTATGGAGAATGTGCATGTTAATGTCACGCCATTTACAAGCGTTCACACGACAAAATTGATCTTATAAATGAAAAACGCCAAGGGTATGTCACTTTTAATAGCTTTGGAGCCAGCAATATGACCCTTCGCAAACAAGAAAAAGCGTTCTTCTCTAACTAGGCAACTACAGTACCCTAGTCTGAATCTCCTTCCAGAATGAAATATACTTACATCCTCTAACTTGAGACATCGCAAGAGTCCCAGGGACAAACATTGTTTGCCCGGCCTATTGACGTTTAGAAATTCCATCAGTTCGTGTTTTTTTCGCAGGCAAGGTTAATTCAAGCTATTTCCAATCCAGTCTTAAAGTTAGACGAAATGCAGTTTTGAACTTCATGGTCTGTTTTTTAAGATCGAGGACAACTTTTCGCACCTAACTCCTGGAATCTTTCCAAAAAACTTTTCCCACAGAAACAAAGTTCAGGAAATGAAAATAAAAATAGATAAGAAAAGCGAAGGAAGTGGGGTGGTGAGAAAGCGGAAATTCTCGAAAAAAAAAATCTCGAAATTTTGCTTTCTGCGCATGCCTAAAATTTGCAGGCTAATATTTCAGATTATACAGATTAAATGCTTCAGATACTTTGAATTAGATACTTTGCATCTGGAGAAAGACCGCGAAGTGCATGACCTGCCATGGGTTTCGCGGTAATTTTTCGCTATTTAAACCAGCAAATGGCTTCACTGAAACGCGATTTTCGGCGAAATTCCGAGGGGCTAGTGGGTTAAGCAAGAAGGATGTGCATCTTGATCTTCCATTTAAGTCCTGCTCTGACTGGGATTTGAATAATAAAAAAGGCGAAGGTTTTGTCGCCTAAGGACTGATTTGGGGCCACTAACATGACTCTCTTATAAAAAGAAAATTGGTTTTTTCGGCTCTATTAAATTCAGACAACGTCACTGCCTCAGGATCCGGTAAGTTAACTGCATTAGAAGACCTGCAAGGAACACTGCAAACATAAATGTAATACAAATGATCATAGAGGCTAGAAATTAAAGCACAATGATAACAAATGTGTCTTACGGTAGGAGTTTTAGGGCTAAGACGACATTTCCATAGCTTTTGAAACAGCTTTAGTCTCAGTCTTGAATTTTGAAACCAGAGTTAACCATATTACCCCTCAGTATTTATGTGCCAAATACCTTTTGTAGAAGGACTAGAAGTTCTTAAATACTTGTTTTTTCTCTTCTTTCTTCTTCTATGGAACCCCATGTCACCTCCTTCAATGATAAAGATTTCCATAAGTCAACTCTCTTATTAATATATCCATAGCATGGTGACCTGTGGAAGGCAATCTGTGTTTGAAATAATATTAAATTCAACAATGACAATTGTCCCATCCCTAGGGGACCTTTGATGACAAAATGCCCCCCTCCCACCACCACCACCATGGCAAATGGTATCAAATGCTGACCCCGGGGAAGGGGGATGATGGGTACTTCAAAATACGGCAAACACTCTCTCAGGCATTTAACTAAGATCAGCACTTACACTCACTAACTTTGAAAAAGTCATCAGAAAGACAGACAATGACTCATTTAATGACTGTGTCCTTTGCAACAGTTAGCATTAGTTCACCTCACCATTTTATTCTTTTTAGAGTTACTCAATTTACGATGCAGATATTATTAGGTAGTTATTTATTAATTAGAAAATAATTAGTTTAAATTATACTTAGAATTTACAATATGTTACTAGAATTTTATATATATGATACAGCCTCTCCTGATTTAGTAAGGCACTGTGCCGAGCTATAAGACATGAGACTTTAACAAAGTTCATTCTTATTATAATTATTGACTGAGCCATCAGAAAATACACTAACTTATGTACATTTCTTTAATAATAATAATTATAAGAAAATTCTAGTGTCGCTACAATTGTAATTGTGGAAACCAGGTGTTTTAGTTGTATGAATTTTTTAGGCCGGAAATTTATTTATGTCTGAGCACAGGTGGCCCACTCCGACTCCAATTTGAGAACGGTGTTAAATTTTATAATAGAATACTGGGGAATAAACAAAATAATATTTCCCTATATCATTTTGAAAAGATTTGAAATAAAAATGGCTTTGGTTTACAGTCTGTTTGCTTCTAGAACAGAGAGTTAAATCCCTGGGGGTATTCCCTATGATAGCCTATTTGAGGAGGCCCCACTTAAAAGAGTATATGAAAGGCTAGGGATTATACAAGCTGAAGTACAGTATATAAAAGGGAAGGGAAAAATGTTATTTCAGTCGGACGTATATAAAACACGGACCCCCAGTACAAGTCCATGGACCACCCCTGTGGACCTAGTTTATGGACCCCTTGATGGAACTGGTCCATGGACTACCCCTGTGAACCACCGCTAAGTTTTGAAGATGAATTTTACCAGAGGTCTAAACAAATTTTAGGAACCTTAAATGAATGAAACTCTGGTCAGTCTTTATTATCAGGGTTATAGGATTATATTTTACACTTTTTCAATTTTTTTTTTGGCAATTTCATACAATTAAATGGCTTCGTTTTACTCTTGAGAAGGAGTGACCTTATTAATTGAAGGGAACAGGAGGAGTGGTATTGAGGTAGTAGTCTCCTGTGCAGCTCTTTTATTTTGTCTTTATGTTGTGTGAAAATCGAGAAAAAACGGGTCCATACGAGACTACGGAGGGAGCTTAATGTCTATGAGTATTTTGTAACAGCAACATTCTCGACCTGAATGCAATTTACATGAAACAATTTGTAATTGTACACAAACTTAATGGTAAGACGTACGTCTGGCAAACCGCATTTTTTGATAATACGCGGGTCATTTTGTGTTTGATTTGTGAGCAGGATTCAATAAGTTTGCATGCCAACCAATAATCATTTTCATCCAAGGGCTTATATAAAGGGAAAAAGGAAAGTCTGGGTGGGTACTGAATCGTAATGCATTACCTTTTCCACCGCAATCTCGTATGCAGCCATTTTTGTGTTGATCTTGACAAGCAACGTACACACAAAAAAAGCTGCATAAGTGAATACTTCCTCCCTTTCGATCATCATGTCCTCTTCAAATAGTTTCTCCTTCTGGACTAAACCAAACCCATTCTATGGAATTCAGAAAAAAATATGAGCAAGTGTATAATATGAGAAGCCTTTAATCCTGATAATATAACTATAAAGTGAGAAAGTTTCGTCTATTGTAAAATTCATTAAGACTCGACTTGTAAAAAATCATCTTCAAAAAGTAGGGTTGGTCCACAGGGGTAGTCCATGGACCAGGACTCCATGTTTTGTATATATTTTCAGTTTAGATTTTAAAGACCTTAAAGACCAACAGATGCATTTCAAGGTTGTACTTAAAAGACACAAAAACTTCGCAGTTCACTGATTGAGTCATAATAATGTATTCAAAAAGAATTATGCAGTGTTTTGAATTGGGTATGTGAAAGGGGTACCATTCGTGAATAGAAGCTCTCAATTTAATGATACATAAGAGGGTTAGGGGTGAAACTTTGGAGTGAAGTTTCCCGGTATTAAAAACTTTGTTGAGTGCCCCCCCCCCCCCGACCATCGGAGACGTTCAATAAAGATTTATTCCTTTTGCAATAAGAGTTAGTTTCTTGGTACAATTGATTATAAACAGAAATTTATACATTTGAATTTTTTTGTTTTACATTTGAGCACATGACCATATCAGCCCAACTGTCATTGTACAAGTTTGAATAAATACCATGTATATGTTGTGATTCAATTTTATCCTTGGTTTAAGAAAAGGAAAGAGTTTTGTCTCAAAACAAGAGCGACTTTAGCCTCACGTTTAGTCAAATGCTAGGAAACTAAGCCCACAACTGTGAAATGGTCTATTATGCCTTGTTCTAGCCAGGGGCATAGCCAGCTTTTTGACTAGTTGTAGGCCCGGCTGACTTCCATTTCCACATATCCTATTACGCACTGACCTCAAAAAAACGTTGAGCTCTTAAGCTTTTTAGTTCATCCCAACAATGCATAATTTATCAAAAACAGCGCCTCATAGTATTGTTTCACCTCAGATGTGATGTATGAAAAGCATAAAAGGTTGGTTTACACGCACTCAGATTTGTTGGCAAGATTTTGTAAAGTAAACTTGTCGAACACAAGGAATTCGGTCTGATTTGTTTTCCAGGCCTAGTCTACTGTGATCAAGAGCCATTATGGCTCTTAAATGTGTTCGAAGATGATTGCTTCTTTTTGGGTGTACATATAAGGCTATCAACTCGATGTAAGATTTTTTCACTCTATAATCACTTAGCCTTAGCTTTCCCTCAAAAGTCACATATGTGCCCTTAAGTTAAATGATTTGTGGATTACATGTTTATTGTTTGATTGAAATTATAAATTTATCAATGGGAGCTTCGCTTTTAGCCCTGGCTAAATCTATATATTAATATCAACAGATCAGTGCCAAATGTGCGCGTTATTGTGCATTATTTTATCTTCGGCTCTTATATTTAGTGTAAGCTTGGTTCCGATGGTGACACGAATCAAGGGTTCACCATAACGGTTCACCTAACTTTCCTGAGCTTTTCTAACGTGTCTCTAGTATACACCTATTTCAATTAAGGTTGCTCCCGTGAACCATGTTTCATAGCCTGCGGTGAAATATTGTAAACTTTTGTAGCGGGAAGTTTAGTCTTGTTCACGTTCATTGAAATAATGGAGACCATTTGCTCCTGAATTTGTGAAAAGGCGTTCAATAGAGCTTTCAAGTCAAATGCCTGCGAAAATTCTTAAGCATGAGCGAGCTAAAACATTTTCATTTTTAAAATCTCATAGTAAAAAATTAGAAGCCTCTTCTTTCAACAACATTAAATGAATAGGGTCTGATTAAGCTGCGTTTTTGCATGGGCCAGAATGCTGGTTATTTTAATAAAGCAAAACAACGCTATTATTTTTTTTATTCAGTTTTAAAATAATTGCCTCAAAAATAGTTAAAAACGTAATGTTAAGTTATTTGTTGTTCGACAACCGAGAATGTGCCGGCAGAGGGCGAGGGTGTGCTGTCGTTGTTTGCGAGTTTCGCACGAACGAGTAGGTCACAAAGGTTTGGTGAACGGCGGAAAGCGACGACAGGTACTTATTTTAAGATGTTTTTTAAGCGTTCGGCGGATTGCAGTATGGGTTGTTTCTGGCGGAGTATGTCATGGATGTTAGGTAGAGCTGGATTATAGGTAACTTTAAAAGGGATTCGGTAACTTGTATCTCTGTTGGGTGGTTTATTATCTCTTAAGGCTTCATTTGGAGGTACCTGTTTGCTCTGGTGATTGTTCTTTAATGAAGCGTCTTTTGTAGCCCTGTTTTATAAGGTAACTTTCTAATTCCGATGATCGAGTTTCAAAGAAGTTACCCACGGAGAAAATGGAGCGTAAGTGAAGAGCTAGGTTGTAGGGAATAGACTTTTTAGTGTGCTATTGGTGGCTTGTTGAGTGCAGTAGGTATTGGTGGTTATCTGTAGGTTTGCAGTAAAGATTAAAGAACAAATCACCAGAGCATAGCAGGTACCTCGAAATGAAGCGTTAAAAGAGAATAAACCAACCACCGGAGATACAAGTTACCGAATCCCTTTTACAGTTACCTATATTCCAGCGCCACCTAGCATTCATGTCATACTCCCAAGGAACAACCTATTCTGCAATCCACCGAAGGCTTATTAAGAATTGAAACACCTTTAAAGAAGTACGTGTCGTCGCTTTCCGCCGTTCACCAAACCTTCGTGACCTACTCGTTCGTGCGAAACTCGCAAACAACGACAGCACACCCACGCCACGTGCCGGCACATTCCGTTGCCACTCTACACATGGCTGCCTCACCTGCCCATACATTAACCATGGGAAAACTTCATACACTTTCGCTAACACAGGAGAAACAAGACAAATTAAACATCACATTCATCGGCTTGTGACTCAACAAACCTAACATATATGATCCAATGTAAAAGATGTAAAAAACAATATATAGGTGAAACTAAACGCACCCTTCGTGAACGTTTTAAAGAACATAGACAGGCAACAAACAATCGGCACGCCACGAAAACGCCACAGCAGCGGTCCCTTCCCACTTTAATGAACATGGACACTCGATCGCAGACGTGGAAGTTATTCCGCTGGAATTACAACCTACCCTCAGCATGTCACGCCGTAAGGCAAGAGAAGCGTGCCTCATAGATAGAAGCAAAACCCTGTCACCAGACGGTCTGAACTGAAGGAATGAACATTAAACTGTTTTTCTTTCTATTTTTATCGTATCATCAATTATCTGTATATTATTTTATCCAGTATCTATAATTGTAGTTGATTATTAACAACTTATGTGAATTTTGAATTAAAATTTTAGGAACCGTTAAAAGATATTTTGTCTCGGTGTAGTTCTGGCGCCGAGGAAGGGTTGTTAGCCGAAATATTGGCCTATAATAAATTAGCCCTTTGTCGTAGTGCCAGCGCTGCATTAAGTTTTGTTTTAGGATATATAGGGGTATACAGTATTACTAGGGTAAACATGGGTGTACGGGGTATGTAAGGGTATGTGACTTAGTATACTTTTTAAGAGAAGATATAAAAGGGAGACTATATGTACATGTCTAGACTACCATGAATTACATGTCTGCTGTACTCACGCTGTCAGTCCTACACTTGAAAGCTACGCTGTACACTCAGTTCTTTTTACTTTTCCAATACTGTGCTCAAAAAAACTATTTCGGCCAACTGGGTTGTCTTTATATCGAAGCAGAAATATGAAAATAATTCAGTTCACTGCAGTAGAAACGTTCACAAAATCACAACGTCGTCTGTGGCCTAATTACAAGTTAACCTCGGCATCTATTAACAGCTCTTCAGATTCGTTAAATTCCTTCTCCAACACAGTGTCAGACAAAAATAGTTGGGACACTTCCACCCAGCGATGTTTTTTTGCTTCTGGCACGTCTCCTCGTCCTCCCAATATTGTTTATCGCAGTTAACTCACCAAATCTTGCACACCAACATTGGGAGGGCAAGAAGACAGCAAAGTATCCCAACAAGTTTGACTAAGACTGTGTTTTTAAAAGTTTGTTATGCTAGTGGTTTCCGCTTCAGTGAGACACTCAGCACTCAGCAGTAAAACTTCTCTAGCAACTGCAAAGCCATTGTTTATGACAAAACGGCTGAGTTAAAAACGAAAATTATTTTTAATTTATTGATGTAAGAAACGGAAATTAAAAATTTTGTTCCTAAGATTCTAAAACTTCTAATTTACCCCTCATCGTGACACTTTCTTTGTTAACGATACACGTAGACAACTTAACTCGACCGACAATAATAAAATCCAGGCTCAACTTCTCGAATGTGTCTGGGACTAGCACAAAACCAATGGTGAAAGCAGGCAGTTTCTTGTACTCTGACACATCAAAAAGGATAATTTTAAGGTTCCAATACTGACAATGATTAATTCAAAATAACCCCGGAATCATCAATTGAAAATGATCTCGGACGTAAATGCTGGGTCAGTTCTACTTTGAACTGAGTTGTCATTGTTGTTTTCCACTTTGTCGAGACATTAAGACTTCCTTAGTAACTCAACAAACAAAGTTTATAAACAAACATTATAGTTTAAACCAAAGGTATTAAGAATAATTCTTTCCAATATTTTTGCAGACGAAATTGAATTACGTTTTAGTTTTCGTATCTATAACATTTCATTTTTCTGTATCGCTGATAAGCGACGGTTGTGTGTTTTTCGGACTCTAATTGCGATTGATAAGACAAGGGTTGTTCTGCTCGGAATCTTAAATGCTTTGCTTCTCAGCTGAAAGTTCAGACCAGTCTGTTTTTATATGATCAGCTATGCAACAAAAACACTAATTAATTAACGCCCATTGATATTACAAAGTGATACGGCAGTGCCATGCAATAATTCTGATAATTATTATTCTGTTAGACCTTTTACATTATGCATTGTGTAGAACAAAATATCCTTTCTATCACTAACACTTGGTTAACAAAAGTAAACTCACAAGGCAATATTGTCTCCAAGAGGAAGAGGCCACCGATGTCCAATTCCTTTCCAAGTACCAAAGCTGGACGTAGTGTCCAAAATGTCAGAAACTTGAACGGAGTAACTATGCGAAAATTCAGCTCAACCAAACGCATACCTTTCTCAAGATTTATTCACACTGTTCTCGCTTGCAAAGGAAAATTGAAACATTTTTCTAACAATTATTTGTGGCATAGTTTGTCAGTGTAAGCTTCATTCTTGAGATTTCATGATAAAAGCGCAGCTGAATAGCTCCAAAAGCCTCGGGCTATGGAACCTAAGACCCATAACCGGTCAGTATAAAAACATGGACTGCGGACTGTGGACCACGGACTGCGGACTGGGTATAAAACACGGACTCGGTATAAAAGGCGGACTAGGGACTACGTTGGTAAAAACTGAGCTAATATCGATTCTAGGTAAGGTAAAATAAGATCAAAATATTGCTAAATTCCACAACATGTGAGTTGAAGTGTTAATCACTCCAAGAAATTCTTGGTGGAGGTATGCCGCCCGGTTCTCCAAATCTTAAGCCTGACTGAACAAAATGCTATTTTCTACACACATTTTTAGACCTGGTCTCGGCCTCTGACATCCATGGCAGGGGCCACAAACGCGATGTACATGTTTACAGAGGTGTAAATCATCTCATCATGGCTTTGGATATAACGTTGGATGATGTATTTCGGTTATTTTGCACGTAAAGGTGAGTAAACCCTCCCTCCCTGAATACGTTTTTGAGCCGTGGAATGCCCCAGTATTGACCTTCTTGTCTGGGTTCTTCATTTCCTCATATCCCCGAGGCTTTGGAATGGAATTGTGGCATCTATGAGAATTTTACTCTCATTAACACGAATATAGTTTTTATTCGGTGCCTCTCATTTTCATATCTTCTATTGGTTTAAAACTATAAATTAAATTGTCTTCTAACTCCTTCTTTTTATAAAAATCGGATTTTCATTTTCAGTTGCCTTGAGCAGCGATATAACCTTCCTTGCCCGTGCAATATGCTTTCCTTCTCCACATGACGCTGACGTTGGGGAGAACAGACCGCGTGACCAGCCAAAGGAATGTTTGTGTTTAAGGCAAGGAGCTGGAACTACTGTTTTATGCTAGTCCGCTATCCGTTTCTATCAGTTTTTCTACAGCTGTTTTCATATACAAAGTCCGTAGTCCGCGTTTTACACTCAGTCCGTAGTTTCTAGTCCGCATTTTATACCTAGTCCGTGTTCTATACCTAGTCCGCAGTCCGCGTTTTATACTGACCGACCCCATAACTAGTGGACGTAATTAACTGTATACCACGCTTTGCATTATTACCATTTATCACTTCATCCTTCATATGGTATAAACAATATAAGATCAAATGAGAGAAGGAAATAAGTATGCACATTTTTTGCCAGTAGTCAAGTAAAACTTGCTGGTTAAACCTATTAACTAGTCTAAAGAGCCGCCACAATGATCGATAGCACAGTGATACATGATTGGTAGATTTCAGGTCATTTGAATCTACTTTTTCCTTATTGGTTGATTTTATTTTGATTGGCAAAAGCGTAAAAGGTCAAAACCTAATATGTTTTGCTTCAGAGTCAGCTTGTCATTCTGCTACAAAGAAGATAAGTGTCTTGTTCAGGTAATGTACCCCATTTCATTACTGTATGAGATTTTTAATTTGATGGGAATTGATGATATCAGCTAAGACAAAATTGCATGAATTGGGCGTCGGTTATTTAAATAACCTCTAAGTTAGATAACGGTAAAAAGATGTATGACTAGCCTGTTTCTAAGTCAGGGGCTTATTTTGAGTAAAGGCGCTGTAACTACAACAAGCTGAGAGTTCAGTCGGCCGGATCAATACCGAGGGTCTTTTAACTCAGGAAAAGAATACTTATTATTTGACTACAAACAGATTGAACTTTACTTGACTCTAGTGATAACAAAGAAATGGCTGATCCCGTCAATACGGGACGTTAAACTTAAATGTAATGAGTTTACACTTGCGCACCAGAGAAAATTTAGGTTACATAACAAATCAGGGAAGGCAAAGCTAAAAATAATTTAGAACGCCATTTCATTTTGAAACACCATTTAAGCTCTGTTTTCATAACCGGCCTAAATAGATGTTTTTGCCAGTAGTCAGTCGCTCTGTTGTAAAACATTTTTTTGTTTCCTTCTCGAAAGTGGAGGTTTCCGCTTCAGTGGGAGGCAGTAAAACTACAAGGCTACAAACTCCACAAGCAAATTTTCTAAAGAAACAATTTAGTTATGTAAACGATTCTTTTCAGTTTTTTTCAATACAGAAATTGAATTTGATTTTGCTCCTAAAACTGGACAACATTTCTTTTCCTCGGTGAGTACGTACTTCTTCTATCGAGTAAGTTACGTACCAAACAAACAACTTAAGTGTTTACAAAAGCAAAGGAGAAAATTTTCAGCTTACGTCTAATGAAGTCTACATTCCACTACCACTTTTCGATAATGGAAACAAGCACCCCTATGTCTACCTTCCTAAAAGGATACTTTAGGATGATCAACTCAACACACTGCTAGATTCAAAACAGTCCCCAAAGTCATAAAAGTGATCTTTCTTTTTCAGTATGAATTGATAATTGTTCATTGAGAGAGTAGTTCAGTCCCGGGAACTCCATCGAAAGAACATGTTAAAAAAACAACAGTAAATGCGGTAAATACTAAAGGATTTTTTAATTCCTTGATTTAAATCAGACTGATGTTGTGCATTTTAGCATTCTACAACAGTTGTGTTCGTATATTACGTAAACGTGCCAATCTTGCTGGCGTGACGCATATAAAGACCAAAATCGAAGACGAAAACACTGAATGACAGTCCAAGAGGTTGTAAGAAAATCTCCGAAGAAAATCAGCCTCAACCCTAAACCATATTAAAAGGATCCCTCCATTCGTCTACAAACAGTTCAAACGCGACAGCTTCAACAAAGACTTTTTGTCCCTATTTTACACGATGGCACATGAACGACTTTAAGCGCTTGCGTTCTGTTTCAAAGTGAATTGATGTTGGTGGTTTCTGCTTCAATGAAGCCGTAAGACTTCCCTAGCAACTCGAAAAGGGAAAATTTATCAGTAAATGGCCACAGTTAAAACCAATAAATGTATAGATTTTTTTTTCATATTTAAGCAACTGGGATCTGTTCATCAGCCCTCACTTTACGTTGTTAGTTATGTTGCAAACAAACAACCTAAGTGTTTACAAAAACAAAGGAGAAGTTTTTATAGCTAACGTCTACTGAAGCCTACTTTCTACTACCACGTTTTGATAATGGAAACAAACACCCCTATGTCTACCTTCCCAAAACGATACTTTAGGATTGTCAACTCAGCACACTACTAGATTCAAAACAGTCCCCAAAATGATGAAAGTGATCGTTCCTTTTCAATATGAATTGATAATTGGTTGACTGAAGAGAGTAGAAGTTTCAGTCCTAGGAACTTAATTGACAAAACTTGTTAACAAAAACAACAGTAAAAGCAATAAATGATATGGGATTTTTTAATTCCTTGATTTAAATCAGACTGATGTTGTGAATTTTAGCATTCTGCAACAGTTGTGTCCGTATATTACATAAAGGTGCCAATCTTGCTGGCGTGATGCATTCATTAAAGAGCAAAATCGAAGATGCATACACTGAATGACAGTCCAAGAGGTTGCAAGAAAATTTCCGAAGAAAATGAGCCTCAACCTCAAACCATATTAATAGGATCCCTCCATTCGTCTACAAACAGTTCAAACGCGACAGCTTCAACAAAGACCTTTTTGTCCCTACTTTACACGATGGCACATGGACGAATGTAAGCGCTTGCGTTCTGTTTCAAAGTGAATTGATGTTGGTGGTTTCTGCTTCAATGAAGCCGTAAGACTTCCCTAGCAACTCGAAAAGGGAAAATTTATCAGTAAATGGCCACAGTTAAAACCAATAAATGTATATTTTTTTTCATATTTAAGCAACTCCGATCTGTTGATCAGCCCGCACTTTACGTTGATAGTTACGTTGCAAACAAACAACCTAAGTGTTTACAAAAACAAAGGAGAAGTTTTTAGCTTACGTCTACTGAAGCCTACTTTCTACTACCACGTTTTGATAATGGAAACAAACACCCCTATGTCTACCTTCCCAAAACGATACTTTAGGATTGTCAACTCAGCACACTGCTAGATTCAAAACAGTCCCCGAAATGATGAAAGTGATCGTTCCTTTTCAATATGAATTGATAATTGGTTGACTGAAGAGAGTAGAAGTTTCAGTATTAGGAACTTAATCGACAAAATTTGTTAACAAAAACAACAGTAAACGCAGTAAATAATACGGGATTTTTTAATTCCTTGATTTAAATCAGACCGATGTTGTGAATTTTAGCATTCTACAACAGTTGTGTCCGTATATTACGTAAAGGTGCAAACTTGCTGGCGAGATGCATTCATTAAAGAGCAAAATCGAAGATGCATACACTGAATGACAGTCTAAGAGGTTGCAGGAAAATTTCCGAAAAAAATCGGCCTCAACCTCAAACCATATTAAAAGAATCCCTCCATTCGTCTACAAACAGTTCAAACGCGACAGCCTCAACAAAGACCTTTATGTCCCTATTTTACACGATGGCACAAGGACGACTTTAAGCGCTTGAGCTTTGTTTCAAAGTGAATTGATGTTGGTGGTTTCTGCTTCAATGAAGCCGTAAGACTTCCCTAGCAACTCGAAAAGGGAAAATGTACAAGCAAATGTCCACACTTAAAACCAATAGATGTATATTTGCATATTGTTTTCATATTTAAGCAACTCAGATCTTTTCATCAGCCCGCACCTTTCAGTGATTCTCAAGAGTGGAGGGTGAAAGTCATCGTCGCTGCTTTTAGAATTCGAATAACTTGAGCCGAAGAACACCAAGTTTTCATGAAAATTTCGGCAAACGATAAGCCTCAGAAAGGTCGTGCCGCTGTGTTATTTGATAAAAACGGCAGTTACTGCATCTCATAAACATTGTGCTTTTTTGGTAAGTGGACCCTACATAGTCAAGAGAGAATGAGCTTGATTATTCCCTTTTGATAGCTAGAGAGATAAAAAAGACTGAGAATATCGAGAATGTCAATTCAGTTTGTATCGTGGCTTACTAAATTGATTATAAGAGTAATTATGCGGGTGGTGGCGGCGTAGCAATCAGTAATTAGACCTAACTTTCTATATTTTAGCACAGATGTTTTTTTAGATATTAAATGATAGTGTTGGAGGAAGGTAATAAACTAGATAACGATATATAAACTGCTAGAGTAGTTACCAAGATTGCCTACAAACGAGACGTTTAAATACCATTTAATGTGCTAATTATGATATAGTCACTGTGTTACACTTTTTTTTCTTCTCTGTAGGCCGATAGACCCCAGCACGTGCCTCCGCACTAAGTAAGGACCATGTTCTTCACAGTTGTGCTCTCTCTTGTATCCCTTCTGGGATACCTACAATACTGGAGGAAGAACTTTTCCGAATCTAGCCAGTCACTGCCGATGAGGTTAGTAAAGTCATCTTGAAAATGGCCCCTGGGTACGTAAAGTCCTCTTGAGAGTCATCAATGACTGTCTCCAGCATATCGCATGGAATTAATGAAATATTGTATTGTACTGCACAACAAGTGATGGACTAGAATTCTCTCAACGGATGGGTAAAAAAGTTACCTGAATTTTAATGCTGTTTACTAACTTATTAAAAAATATTTTAAATTTTTGAAAGGGAAAATACCACGCTGTTGGAAGAGAACAAAATGGCTGAAGACAAAGCAAAGAGTAGTGTAGACGAAGCTGGGGGCAATGACAGCAAGGTATTTGGTTTGTTTCTGTGAAAAGCATTTTAATTTGATTAGGCGATCGATACATACTGATGACTCTTTAATAAAACGGGTACCTCCATTACTGTCCTTATTACGATTACTGTGGCTTATCTTATAGAGAAAGTTTTTTTTTCTGAATATCTTTCAATGGGAGTGAAAACTACTATTTTCGGAAATAATTTTATCTCGTTCGTTAAGTTGTGTATCATCAACAGTTGAAGAGGAACAATTAGGATCATAATTTTCATTTGGAATTTTTCCTCTTCGTAACACTTGCAGAAAAGTAAAAGAGTTCCCTTTCCAGATCAATAACGAAAAATCCCGCCAAAAACCAAAATATTACCACAGTTGAAAAAATTGCCCAAAGTGATACCAAGATCTTTTTTTTTTACTTTAAAAAGACAGAGAAAGCTCCACGTTTAAATACCCCTTTTGTCAACGTTTCCTAAAAAGTTGTATTTCCATACTGTATCGTTGAAAGAGTGTTAGTCTTCCATTAAAGCAGATACTGTATATAAAAAATGTTAATCCCTTTTGTGAGTTTATTATAATTTTCTACATTCAGACTTAATAGTAAGAAACGACAACAAATAACACAAAGTAATAGTCGCTAGAAAAAGTCGTGAAGAGCAGATCTTTTTGATCGATGCCCAGAATTAACAAAAAATGGAGAGTTAAGGCTAATTAAGCGTAAGCATCTTTTAAAATTCAGTCAGACAGAATAATTTGATTTTTTTAACGGAGCCATTTGAGCAGTAAACGTTGAAAACTGGAGTCTTTTTAGGGTCCATCAAACTCAGAATCAATCGCACCATCAACAAAAAGGAAAAATGAGAAAATGAAAGGAGATGGAAAGAAGAAAAGGATAACAAAAAAATCTCCGTAGTCTCAGGTTTTACTGACAAGTTTTTTACTGCTTCAGAGATTTTGAAAGTTTAAAAATGGTTGTATGTCCACAGACGTGTTTCTTTACTTTTTGAGATTTGCGAACGCATGCGCACTTGATGATCTTTGAAAATAAATTAACAGGTCTGTGAACAGGCTACAAAAAGAAATAAAAGTTGAGCAACAAGGAATTGACAACCGTAAGACTTAACAACGTTTTGAGGAAAATTTAGCTGGAGAATAGCATTGATACAAATCTCTAGTGTTAAGTCTTATTTAGTGCAGCTTAGACTGGAAAATTTAGCTAGAGAATAGCATAAATAGAAATCTCTAGTGTTAAGCCTTATTCAGTGCAGCTCAGACGGAATAAAGACTTAAAGCTGGTATAAACCCCAGGATATAGCGATTCAGTCCAAATGAAACGATGAAAACACAAGTATATAAAATAACTTGAAGGAGCTACATTGGGCGTGAATTTATACTTGTGATTACTTCTAGTGCCAGTAAAGTAGATCATTAACGAACTTCCTGTTTGGTAATTGTACATTGTGTATTTGACACTATGGAACAATGTAATGATTTGCTTAAGAGACAACCAGACAATAGCTCCCGAATGCACAATTCCCAATGCCCAAAGTAACCTTTATTGAGTCAGCTGTACATTTGTATCCGGCTAAGGCGTTTCCTTCTCAGTTCAAAACTATCCCACGTTAGGCGCATTGTCTTTATCAGAGCCTCAAATCAGGTGTGAGTCTCTTTTCTGTATCGCCTCTATTGCAGCTTCAACATACTTGATGACGTATGGGTTCCAAATTAGACAGGCCTACTGCTGACTAAATCTAAGCGTTAGTGCGACTTTTTAACCTAAGTTAAAAGTCCTAGGAGTGACCAACATTGATTTTCTCAATAAAGTAGACAGGCTACGAGAATTAACAAAATGATCAGAAAAAGGAAAATACTTCCATGCATTTTCGCATTTAAATTTCAAAGTAATGTATGAAGACCAGTCTGATGAATTTGTATGTGGATATTGGGACTTAAAGGGTCAAAGAAGCTTTTTCCTTCATTCATTTATTCTTTATTTGCCATATATACAAAATTTTACAATTTAAGGTTGGAATAATGAGATTAAAGAAAAAGTAAATGGCGCGGAGACCTGAAAGAAACCACGAGGCTTATAATATCAGGTCTCAGCTAGGTCTCCGCAACTTAGGATCAACTAGTCTTGATAATATAATTACAATATGGGCTTATGATGGCTAACTTTGAACGCGAACTCACACACACGCACATGTTAAATTAATTAATCTAATAATCTATTTAGTGCCATACTGAAGCTAATGCTTATGAAGAAGAAATTCTTTAAGCTTTCTTTTAAAAGAAGCAGAGGAGGACGAACCAGTTATAGTAGAATTTAGCGAATCATAATATTATATATCTAGCCGGATTTATGAAAACCGTACCATCGGACCCCAGGAGCCCACACACCTTAAACTGACTCAACTAAAGTAAACACCGCCAAGAAACTCAGCTCTTACCTATGGTTCTCTTAAGGTGACTCTCTTCTTGGTTCCTGGTTAGCAAAAGAAACATTCAAGTCCATCAAAAAGATACTCTGGACTTGGCCATACACTCTAGCTGCTTAAAGGCCCTAAATGACGGAGGATGCTTGAGACTTAACCAAGTTCTAAGGAGAGAATTCAAGGTTAAATCACCCCCCTGACTTCCTCCACCCCCCCAGCCTAGCACGTGCTTGAGGGGAATGCTTTCATCATTGGCCAATGGGCCTCAAACGTTACAAGAATTTGACATGACAAACTAAAGGCAGACATGACCAGTGCACTGACTCTCCCAGACCAGAACTAACGGAAGGTACAACGCTTTTGCAGCACCCTCCCCCCCTAGGGATTGACATGGAGGCCCCTTTCCAACCCATGGCGTGTTAGCTCAGGGACTGAGCTTGACAATCAGACCAACCAGGACAGCAAGCCCCCTATGTTTTTTCTCACCGCAGTGACCAGAAAGCTGGCTATCGCCAGCTTTCTGTGCGAATATTCTTGCCCATTTTGAGGTATGTTTTCAAAAATTCGGCTAGATATATATATATTATTATTATTATATTAACGGATGGGCGTAGTATTTCACATTTATTACTTATTTTATTTTATTTTTATTCAAGACATTTATTACACTAATTGCAAAGAACCTTTTACAAAATTTAAAGAACGATATTACCAAAAGGAAATTAAAGAAAAATGGAAAAGTATTACGCACTTACAATTATATACATTTCACAATTATATACTTTATAGCCAAAAACAGCCGCACAATTGCTGAAAGTGGCTTATTTTACAAAAAGCTAATTAATACTTAATTACGTAAACGAAGAGAGAAATTAAGACTTATCTAGAGTAGACTGAAATGGTACTTAAGAAATACGGAAAAAATATGTAATAAAAGATTAGAATTTTAATTACACACGAACTTGATTAAAAAGGAGAAAGGTCTTTCGGCCATTTTTCATTAAAGGTTTCTAATTTATTGTTCCTGGTGGAAATATATTTTTCAGCTTGGCATTTAATTCTTATTTTAAATTTGAAACTTTCGATCTTTGGAAGTACCTGGCTCTTTCTGCACGCCCATAAATATAGTTTACCAATTAATATCAGATAATTTAACAAGTGACATGACAGTGTTATTCCAATTATGACGTTTCGCAAACACATCGCATGAAATTCCTTCGCTATTGTTAAATAATACTGTTCAATATTTTTCCAAAACGGATCGTGCTGGAGATATCCAATTTTGAAAAGTTTTGTGTTAGTGTAAAGTATTGAATTTGGAACTTTGTATTGAAAAGATTTGACGTAAGACTCCTGTGTTGTCACTAAGCAATTTTCAAGTCTTCGTCAGATAATTACGCTGAAATCATGTTTTATATTCTTTGCATTACTAGGTAACTGGGCTTTATTTGATATTAAGAACGGCTCCTGGTTGTAGTCTTTCGTTTTCTTTTCCTCTATGTCAAAAATCTCATCTCCTTTTGTAACAAGTATTTTTCTGTAAAGGAAGTGTAATCCACTGTTTCCAGAATGGAAGGAGTTGCGTGCCTGAGTCCTGTCCATGTGAGAAAATTGGCTTTCTCACAGTGGCTATGTTGAATTAATTAAATTTAAGGAGTATTATGAGATGCTCGGGGGGCATGATTGCGATCCGATATACTCGCTCAGTATTTACGCACGCTTTTCGGGCAATTTTTCTTAAAGTTTTCGTAGAATAAGACTGTAATGGGAAAAAAGATCGTTTTGCCGTGTTTGGATGTAATAATGATCACCTTTTTCCCGAGAAATATACAGTGAAAGACATTCTTCGGAGTGTCCACAATACTAATTGCTACTTTTTTCCCTCCTTGTTTAGAGGCAATATCTGACTTCTTCTTCTTCTTACTCCTAAATGGCTGTACTGTAAGCCTTTCCATGGGAACTTCTTTTGTACGTGTTCCTGATCATAGCCCTTCAGAAAGAGCGTGAGATAGGATGACTGTATACTGGTCTTCCAAATTTAAAATGATTTTAGCAAACTTTAGTATTTTTGCTCACCTTAAATCCCTTCCAGTCGGTAGTGCCTTGGGTACTTGCAAGAGCAGAAACGTACCTCCGAAGGAACTGGTATGGTCTTTCACCATATATCTCTCTGGAAAACGGCGATCATTATCACATACAAACAGGGCACTACGATCTTTTTTTTTCCCATTACAGTCTTATTCTAGGAAAGCTGTAAGAAAAATTGTCCCGAAAAGCGCGCGTAAATACTAAGCGAGTATATCGGATCGTACTCGTGCCCCCTGGGTATCCCATAATACTCCTTAAAATTAATTAATCGGTAAAATGGTCTATTGCATTAAACGATTCTATATTGTCAAGATTGAACAAGAGATCTTTAATGATACACATCCCCGAGTCATAATGCATTTATAAGACTGGTTTTTCCTTTATTCTTATGTCTTTGTTATTCCAAATTATAGACGCAGAGCCGTTCTTTGTCAGCTAAAAAGAGATTTCCAAATTCTAGCCACCATTCTAAGAGCTCGCTATAAAAACCCGTGTAAATTGAAAGATCGTTAAAAGCAAAGAAAAGAAAACAAAAAGGAAAACAAAAGTATGTACCTCAACAAAGAATTAATATTTGAGTAAGAAAGGAGGAATTTTTAAAGTCCTTTGCCAGATTAAACAAACTGATATTTTCACTGTTTTGAATTTGAGTTGAGTTGAGTTTATTGTTTTGTCAAAAAGTTGTACAAAACAAGAAAAATTCCAGTTAAGACTGTAATGGCGAGGAAGCCCAACGGAACCCACCGTGCTCATAAGAAATGGGTTCCCTCAGAAAGTATTATTATAATTACACATGCAAAAATTAATGGTAGAGCTGCAGCAAATCTAAATATATATTGGATAACTTCATTTATCATTAATCAATTTCATGACTTAGCGAATTGAAAAAGTGAGGGGTTTGAAACCGAATTGAGAATTTTTGAAAATTAGTTCCACAATGGAATTTCTTGTGTGATGCGAATGTATCTGGCTTGCAAGAGTAAACATATTAGAAAAATAATTAGGAAGAAAACCTCTTTTAAAAACTAAGATACATAAATCTACTTATTTGCTGTAAATAAATGTAAGAGAATTTTAAAATCACCTGCTCTTTGAAAAGAGCATCAGTTTGAGAATCCAAAGGAACTTTAGATATTATTCTGATTATAAATCTTTCTTTTGCAAAATATTAAAAGACCACCAACATTACGTAAAAGATGTAACAAGTAGAATTTCCACGTACTTTCTTATTGCTGAAAATACATTTTAGCCAAGCTAGTCGTACAGCTTTGACCAAGCTTCGTTTCTTTACCTTTTCCATTCAATAAAAAAGAAAAAATTATACTATTCGCTTGTTTGATGATTTTGCATGGAGGTTAAAGAACCGAATATGTTTAGTTTTAAGATAAGTAATCATTTGATATAGTTACTTTACCATAAATAGACAGTCACCCTAAGTGGGCTTGTACCCTTTTGGACGGCTGATTTCGAGAAAGTTCCAGTGTTATTTTCCCGAAAATTCTAGATGCAAGTAAACGGTTTAGGAAAGTAAGAATTTTTCTCATTCTCATAGATCGCTTCAGCGTTATAATGGAGTTTAACTGATAAGTGGGTCACCTTTTCGGTGGCCTACGAAACAAGTTTGTATTAAAAACCCATGCACTCAGGATTTGAGTAGTTCACCTACTGGTCTATTCCGCTCCCTTACTGCAAGTAAAGCACTGTCTTGGCTTCGCCGGTGAACATCTAACTTAATAAATTATATATATATATGTATATCATTTAAATGTTCATTAAAGCAATTTTTAAAACAAAAGTAATTTATGCAAACAAATCTAACTGCAGTCAAGTATGAACTGGTATGAACAAATAATACTCAAAGAAGTATTTGACTGATCCAAAGCTCAATTGTCGCTTTAACGATTGACTTATTTGTTATTTATCACTATTTGGGGCAACGCAAAAATTCTGAGAGGTTGAATCACTTTCTGGTTTGAATATTCATGTGAGGAATTCAAAATGCTAATGTACGCAGACTCAACACCCATACATCAAACATCCTAGATGTCTCAGCAATGCCCTAGGCAAAGTGTAATATTAATTTTCTTGAAAAGAATGATTGAGCAAGAGCTTTGGGTGAGCGAGAGGAAACGAAGAATATTACTGAAAAAAAAATTTAGCTCACCAGTCGTTTATCTCGTGTGAGAACAGAGACAGTGATCGGGTTTAGTAAGCATGCATCAAACTGCCGAAGATCGTTCCGACTGGATTGTTTCTAGAATTCACACGTGAGGACATCCTGAGGTCAGGGATTGGACGTCTCAGTAAAGCTCATGGCTCAGAACAGAAAAAGAGTTGCTGATTAACTGAAATTTATTTCATACGTTCGATAAATTATGATTTAATTCCCAGCGACTTTTGTAAAATTCATTTGTTATTCAATCATTACCTGGAGATTTGCTATTCTCAAAGCTGTTGGGTGTGGCTTCAACAAATATTTTTCCTTTAAATTAAGATTGCTCTTGTTCTTCTGATAATCTTGGTCATTCAAATTGTTTAAAAATTTGTCTCCATTTTCTCTATCCTCATCTGTAATGTTTGATTTGTACAAGCTTTGATAAAAGTGAGAAACGACGGCAAACAAATGAGGCTGAGTATCATCTGAAGAATGATGGAAATCGAGGAGGATGTTATCCGTCGAGACCGTAGGCAGAGACGGATAACACCGTCCGAGATCTCGATGATACTTCAGATGATACAAAAGCCGAATTCAATAATTGCTTTAATGATTCATTCAAAACAATTCTTAGTTTGCAAACAAGCTACGACACGCTTACTCCTCCATCGAGGTTAAGTTCATCTTCGATAGTGCATGTTAATCAATTTAATCAGCAACTTTAGGAAAGGGTATTTTAGCTTCGAAAGTATTCTTCAAATGGCAAATGTCGTCGGTCCAATTGTCTTCTTGCTGTTCTGGCTATGTCTTTAGCCAAATTTGGCCCATTTGTTCATAGGGAAAGTTCCGCCTTTTTTGCATTCACTGCACGCCAAAACAGCCCAACCTGGTCTCCAGCATTTCTCAGTTAACAGTTCAATAATCTGGCAATTCTACTTCACGATTGACGTCATCGGTTCGATATCGCAAAATTCTTCCAAATTTGGCCGACAGTAGCCGGTTATAATGAATTTTGGCCAATCAGAAACGGAGAAATATTTTGAATGAACAGTAGAATAAAATAATAATGGCCAGAAAAAGTCACGAAAAGCTAGAAATCAGCCTGATGTCAAATTTTGTTAAAATTAGTAATTTTGCTGTGCTTTTAGCCTTTCAGGAAAGCTGAAGGTAAACATGGACAAAGCGACAAAACCTCCAGTTATAACCTCGGAGTTGAAGCTCTCGGACGCTTTGATTTCCCAACTGCCCGAAATGACTTCGAGTTGAAGTTGGCAGCATATACCAACCTTGGCATTGCATCTGAATGTCTCGGTAATTATGAAAAGGCCATCGAATTTCATCAGCAGACCCTTCGTATCGCGAAAGAGATTGGAGACAAACGTTCAGAAGGCAAAGCATATTGCATCCTCGGCACTGCGTATCACTGTCTCAGTAATTATGATAAAGCAATCGAATTTCATCAGCAGTCTCTTCGTATTGCAAAGGAAATTAGAGACAAAGGTACAGAAGGGGCAGCATATACCAACCTTGGCGCTGCGTATCACTGTCTCGGTAATTACAAAAAAGCAATCAACTTTCACCAGCAGTCTCTTAGTATCGCAAAAGACCTTAGAGATGAAAGTACAGAAGGCACAGCATATACCAACCTTGGCGCTGCGTATCACTGTCTCGGTAATTATGAAAAAGCAATCGAATTTCATCAGCAGTCTCTTAGTGTCGCTAAAGAAATTGGGGACAAAGGTACAAAAGGCACAGCATATACCAACCTCGGCGCTGCGTGCACATGTCTCGGTAATTGTAAAAAGGCAATCAAATTTCATCAGCAGTCTCTGGGTGTCGCTAAGGAGATCGGAAAGAAACGCACAGAAGGCACAGCATATACCAACCTTGGCGTTGCTTATCACTGTCTCGGTAATTATGAAAAAGCAATCGAATTTCATCAGCAGTCTCTTAGTATCGCTAAACAGATTAAAGACAAAGGTACAGGAGGCACAGCATATACCAACCTTGGCGCTGCGTATAGATGTCTCGGCAATTATGAAAAGGCAATCAAATTTCATCAGCAGTCTCTTAATGTCGCAAAGCAGATTGGAGACAAAGGTACAAAAGGCACAGCATATACCAACCTTGGCGCTGCGTGCACATGTCTCGGTAATTATGAAAAAGCAATCAAATTTCATCAGCAGTCTCTTAGTGTCGCTAAAGAGATTGGTGACAAAGGTACAGAAGGCACAGCATATGCCAACCTTGGCGCTGCGTACCACTGTCTCGGTAATTATGAAAAAGCAATCGAATTTCATCAGCTGTCTCTTAGTGTCGCTAAAGAAATTGGAGACAAAGGTACAGAAGGCACAGCATATACCAACCTTGGCGCTGCGTATAGATGTCTCGGTAATTATGAAAAAGCAATCAAATTTCATCAGCAGTCTCTTAGTGTCGTTAAACAGATTGGACACAAAGGTACAGAAGGCAAAGCATATACCAACCTTGGCGCTGTGTATAGATGTCTCGGCAATTATGAAAAAGCAATCAAATTTCATCAGCAGTCTGTTAGTGTCGCTAAAGAGATTGGAGACAAAGGTACAAAAGGCACAGCATATACCAACCTTGGCGCTGTGTATCACTGTCTCGGTAACTATGAAAAAGCAATCGAATTTCATCAGCAGTCTCTTAGTGTCGCTAAAGAGATTGGAGACAAAGGTACAGAAGCCACAGCATATACCAACCTTGGCGCTGTGTATCAATGTCTCGGTAATTATGAAAAAGCAATCGAATTTCATCAGCAGTCTCTTAGTGTCGCTAAAGAGATTGGAGACAAAGGCACAGAAGGCACAGCATATACCAACCTTGGCGCTGCGTGCACACGTCTTGGTAATTATGAAAAAGCAATCGAATTTCATCGGCAGTCTCTTAGCATCGCAAAAGACCTTAGAGACAAAAATACAGAAGGCACAGCATATACCAACCTTGGTGCTGCATATAGATGTCTCGGTAATTATGAAAAAGCAATCAAATTTCATCAGCAGTCTCTTAGTGTCGCTAAACAGATTGGAGACAAAGGCACAGAAGGCATAGCATATACCAACTTTGGCGCTGCGTGCACATGTCTTGGTAATTATGAAGAAGCAATCGAATTTCATCGGCAGTCTCTTAGCATCGCAAAAGACCTTAGAGACAAAAGTACAGAAGGCACAGCATATACCAACCTTGGCGCTGCATATAGATGTCTCGGTAATTATGAAAAAGCAATCGAATTTCATCAGCAGTCTCTGAGAATCGCAAAAGCGATTGGGAACAAAGGTACAGAAGGCACAATATATACCAACCTTGGCGCCGCGTATACGTGTCTCGGTAATTATGAAGAAGCAATCGAATTTCATCAACAGTCTCTTATTATCTCAAAAGAGATTGGAGACAAAGGTACAGAAAGCAAAGCATGTACCAACCTTGGCGCTGCGTATCACTGTCTCGGTAATTACGAAAAAGCAATAGAATTTCATCAGCAGTCTCTTAGCATCACAGAAGAGATTGGAGACAAAGGTACAGAAGGAGGAGCATACACCAACCTTGGCAATGTGTATCACTGTCTCGGTTATTATGATAAAGCAATCAACTTTCATCAGCAGTCTCTCAATATCGCAGAAAAGATTGGAGACAAAGGTACAAAAGGCAGAGCATACACCAACCTTGGCTCTCCGTATAGGTGTCTCCATAATTATGAGAAAGCAATCGAATTTCATCAGCAATCTCTTAGTATCGCAAAAGAGATGGGAGACAAAAGTACAGAAGGAACAGCATATACCAACCTTGGCGCTGCGCATCGATGTCTCGGTAATTATGAAAGAGCGATCGAATTTCATCAGCAGTCTCTTAGCATCGCAAAAGATCTTAGAGACAAAAGTACAGAAGGCACAGCATATACCAACCTTGGCGCTGCGTATCACTGTCTCGGTAATTATGAAAAAGCAATCGAATGTCATCAGCAGTCTCTTAGTATCGCAAAAGCGATTGGGGACAAAGGTACAGAAGGCACAGCATATACCAACCTCGGCAATGCGTATGGATGTCTTAATAATCACAAAAAAGCAATCGAATTTCATCAGCAGTCTCTTACTATCGGTAAAGAAATTGGAAAGAAACGCGCAGAAGTCACAGCATATACCAACCTTGGCAATGCCTATGACTCTCTCGGTAATTATGAAAAAGCAATCGAATTTCATCTGAAGTCTCTTAGTATCGCAAGAGGGATGGGAGACAGAAGTACAGAAGGAGCGGCATATACCAACCTGGGCACTGCGTATAGATGTCTCGGTAATTATGAAAAAGCAATCGTATTTCATCAGCAGTCTCTTACTATTGCAAAGGAGATTCGAAGTAAAGGTACAGAACGTAGAGCATATACAAACCTTGGCAATGCGTATTTCTCTCTGGGTAACTATGAAAAAGCAATCGAATTTCATCAGCAGTCTCTTAGTATCGCAAAAGAGATTGGAGACAGAGGTACAGAAGGTGCAGCATACATCAACCTTGGCAATGCGTATGGATGTTTTGGTAATTATGAAAAAGCAATCGAATTTCATCAGCAGTCTCTTAGAATCGCTAAAGAGATTGGAGACAAAGGTACAGAAGGTGCAGCATATAGCAATCTTGGCAATGCGTATGGATGTCTCGGTAATTATGAAAAAGCAGTCGAATTTCATCAGCAGTCTCTTCGTATAGCAAAAGACAGAGGAAACAAAGCTTTAGAACAACATACGTACAACAAACTTGGTCGTAGTTTTTATAAGCTTCATGATTTCAGTAAAGCTGAAGAGTGTTTTGAGTTCAGTATAAAAGTGTTTGAGGAGATGAGGTTCCAACTTCAGGAGAAAGATGATGTGAAAATCAGCTTTCGGGATCGATTAAAATCGTACGCTCGTTTGTGGATTGTTCAGCTACGACAAAAAAAGACCAAAGAGGCGCTTTTAACAGCTGAGCAGGGACGAGTGCAAGCTCTCGCGCATCTCATGGAATCACAGTATGGCGCAAAGTCAACTCCATCAGCATCAAAAGAGCAGATGGTAAAAACAACTAACATTTCAAGCCTTGTTTCATCGCCTACGACATTTCTTGCGGAGGCAAAAAAATCAGTGCACTTCTGGGTACTGCATGAGGGACAAGAGTGGCAATTTATGAAAAAGAAAGTCAAAAATACATTGAAAGATATGACTGACAAAGCATACAAACAGATTGGTGTTCACGAGCTTGCTCTGTGCGAAGATCGCTCCCTTGATGATCCAGAGGACGGAACAATTGAAGATTTATTTGAAAGAGGTACAGATGAAAAAGAATTTACATCGTCACAAGCTGGGGGTGATGCTTTAAGAGAGTTGTATAATGTAATGATCCCCCCGATATCACACTTAATAGAAGATGAGGAACTTATTATTGTTCCTGATGGTTCATCATTCTTGATTCCTTATGCTGCTCTTGTGGACCAAAATTCCAGGTACTTGTCTGAAATGCTGAGAATTCGATTGGCTCCGTCACTAACAAGCTTGAGGCTGCTGGCAGAGTGTCCAGAGGATCGCCATAGTACATCTGGTGTCCTCCTGGTTGGTGACCCGTGGATTGAGACTGTGCGCCTTAAAAGCGGAGAAAAACAAAAACTAAAAAGATATCCGCAGCTCCCTGGTGCTGAAAAAGAGGTAAAAATGATTGGACAGATATTAAACGTTGAGCCTCTCACTGGAAAGAACGCTACAAAAGAACAAGTGCTAAGTAGGCTAAACTCAGTTTCTTTAGTTCACATTGCAGCTCATGGTTCTGCAGAAAGGGGTGAAATTCTGTTGTCACCTAATCTTAGCAGCTCCAAACCTCCAGAAGAGAAAGACTTTCTTCTGACCATGACAGATGTTTTGGACGCAAAATTGGATGCCAAGCTTGTTGTCTTGAGCTGCTGTCACAGTGGGCGAGGAAAGATCAAGGCTGAGAGCGTGGTTGGTATTGCACGTGGTTTTTTAGGAGCTGGTGCGCGTTCCGTTATTGCGTCACTTTGGGCGATTAACGACAAAGCCACCCTGACGTTTATGGGACACTTTTATGAACATCTGGTCAAGGGGCAGAGTGCAAGTAAGTCGCTGCATGAGGCCATGAAAATGATGCGGCAGTCAGGCGACTTCAATGCCGCTAAGTACTGGGCGCCATTTATGCTGATTGGCGATGACGTCAGTTTTAATTTCGGCCAATGAAGGTGAGGTTCTTTACATGAACGTATCTGAGAAACGCATTTTAAGGCAATGAAACGCAAAAAATTACTTGAAAGTGGGGGAAACATCAAAAATAATAAAAACACAATAGAGCGTTTTCACATGACGTCACGGCGACCATATTGGTGTTCCAAAACAATAAAACGGTAGCCGTGTTGGTGTTCCAAACCAGTCCTGTGGGAGTTGAAGTCTTTTATTATGTAAACACTTTCTTTTGTTCCAATAAATTTGCATAGATACTGGTCATGTGAGTGAAAACGCTCTATAATATACTATTAAGATAAGGAACAATTTCCGATAGAGAAGAATAACCGTCGCTGCTTTTTGGAGAAATACAAAGATTTTATTTCTGGCTCTTTAGTTTACAGTTCCCGAATTTAAGCCTTCCGGAGAGTTTAAAACAGAGGTTTGGGGCATCTCGAAAAGTAACTAGCTTGAGGCAATTTACCACGCTATACCCCGAAGTATCGTTATATAAGTTTCCTTATCAATCTTCATATACTTTCCCTATATATATACTTTTCTTAATTTGCATTGCAGCACAGTATAACAGACCACCAGACTTGGGGCACTTGAATTGAAACACAACAAAAGGAATAAAAAACAATGGAACCATGAGCGAATGTTGAAGGCCTTCATGTACGTTAAAAACAAAAGGATTTAATTAGATTTATTAATGATTTTCAAGACTTTTTATCTTGCCATTGTCGCGTACGAATTTATTTATACTTTCTCTTGACAACCTTTTTCCAATCAATTGTTCAAGTCACATTAGGACTCCAAAAAATTATTTTTCTCAGTCTAACTTTGTTTTATAGATTTCATTTGATAGTTTGTTATTCAGTTTTTAAGAAGCGAAATAAGGAACTTTAGTCATTTTTCTGCATAAGGCACTATGGCAACACATAAGATATTAGGTTGCTTATTAAGATCAGCTGTTTGTTCAGTGTAAATATCTTGTTCTTAGCAGAACCCGTTTACTCTAAGATTACAAGTTTGTGCGCGGTAAAACAAACTTGCTTAACTGGTTAACCACTTCAGTTATAAAACTGCTCTCAATGTGGTCTCTCACTCCTTAACGTATCGCCCGCAGTATAATGTACATGACATAATGTTTGCTTCGCCAGCAATATCACCTGAGTCAGTTTTCAACACGAGTACGTGAACATCCAGGGGTGGGCCTTCAAGGAAAAGGTGGGTGTTGGTGTGCAGCTGAGACCTTCAAACTCTAACCTTGTCTAAGATAAAAGATCCAATTGCGTGATCCTGCGTCGTTTCGTTTTTCATACAGAATTTAGAAAATATTTTTAACTAGCCGATCATGCGATCAGATTTTTTGGGGGGATGGAGGAGAAATTGTTGGACCATTGAACGCCAACCTCCACACTCTACTTCCGGTCTAAACATACACCCTGTTCAAGACACAAAATTAGGGAACTTAAGCACCAGACGTTCTTAATTCACGAATGGCATGGCTGGGCGCCCAGAACTTGATAAGGGACGCAGTTTACGCCCCAAATGCAAATCATGAAGCAAACCAACGTGAAACCATCACGAACGCCGACAGAATAATTCAATTGAAAATGTCTTTCAAAGATTTGCGTGAAGTTTTGTCTCTTTTTTAAGAAGAAAACATGATTTCAGACGAAGAATATCTACTTGTATGACGAATACTCTTCAAAGAACCCAGAATTTCTGAGCCTCTGGTTTTAACCTGAGAACTCGCGTTTTGAAGTCCGTGATGGCATTTCAAGAACTTCTTGACATATATACACCGTTTTTAACAGCGGCACCTAACCGTTTAGGCCAAATAAGGGAGTGCCCCATGGGAGAGCAAACATAAACTACTTTGCGCCTGTTTATCGGGTTTAAAATAGGTCATTCAGGAAGATCAATGTTTTTCAATCAAAAAATAAGGATGACTATTCGTTTGGTTACAAACTGACTGTTCTCTGAGCCTTCAAAAGTCCATTTGATCCAAAACAAACTTGTTCAAAAACAGTTGTTTAAAAATTAACTGTCCTCACGGATCAAGCGTAACCACTCTTTGTTTGGTGCTGTGGCCATTTTGTTTTTTCTTCTTCTTCTTTGTTATCCTTCATTTGGAAACTTTTATTGCAAAAAGTATGGACTTTGAAGGGTCAAAAGGAAGGTCATGAACCAAACACATTTTCATCACTTAAAGAAATATTAAGGCTTGCTGCATAGTCTGTCAAGGAAATTCTTCAGTATATCATTTTCCGTACAGTGTATTACTTTTTTCCATTTTTATGAGTTGTTGTTACTTATGACTAGTTTGTTAGCCGTTACTCTTTGTGATTTTCTTGACTTGTACGTTATTAATTATAGCCAGTTGATTTTTTTTTATAAACATTGTACATTTTAAGTTGTTACTACAAAACTGAAGAAGGTCTTAAATTCAGCTGTAAATAATTTTCTCTAAGAGTCCTTAGGCCATTTCCCAGTTGCTCCAAGTTTCTGTTTCGAAGTGAGGCTGAGTGCGAGGCTATTGCTGAGAAAATGAGTTTTTTCCTCATCTAATAGTTTAAATTCATTTTCACAGGAGAAACTTTCCACTTTCCCTCGTTACAAGAAAGGTTTTGCACTTAACTCAATTTTTTGGGTTGGAACTTTGTAACTTGGAAGTTCGCTATTAGACTGTTGTCGTATACCCCCCCCTTAATCCGTTATTAGGGAGCTTAAGCAACGACGACGGCAACGAGAACGGAAAAAAAGCAATTGATTTAGATTGGCAAAACAAGAACTCACGCTTTTTTCTACATTTCTCGGCCGTGAACGACTACAACGTGCAAGTACCTAATTTCACGTTTTGTCGATACTAGTAGAAAAAATGCCAGACAAAATCCGTCAGTAAATTTAGATTTCCTCATTTCTATTGGTTATGAAGATCAGTTGATTTGCAAACCAAGACCATACATTTTATGACTGCGTTCACTTGTGAAAATTTCAGTTAATACTAATAACCACTGAAAATCTATACCTCATATCTGCAATGAAGCGATTGCCCGACCCCGTTTGGCGAACGTTACTTCAAGTTACAGTTTGCTACTTGCCGACAGTAATATTAAAAGTTGTATTCTCCACGATTTTAACCACAGAACTGACATCTTTAAAACAATCATTTTTAGAAGAACTCATAACGATTAGAGTCGACTGACTAGATTATCATTTTAAGAATCAGAAACACTTACACACTTACACCTTTCATCAAAGCGAATTATGTTGTAGACTCGATTTCAATATCTATATAAGAAGGTATGATGGCGTTTTAACTGCATTTCATTTTTTTTAACCTTAACATCTCTGTACTTTCTTAAACGTCCTTGCCTTTTTTTCAGTTGTGACTTCTTAAATTTTCGTCGATCATTCATTCATTCCAAAAAAAGATGGATTTTTTTCTGTGTGACAGGCGCTCTAAAGGCGCTCTTCTCAACGCTCTACTCAAGCCTGTTTTGTCAAAAATCCCTTTAACATTATACGGTTTTTTCTTGTTTAGAATGCCAATTTACTGAAAAAAACTTTGATCCAGCGTTTTTATAACTCGAGGTAGCTCATCGAACGAAAAATCAAAAATCAATCGAGCTGAATGGGTCGGATTGTTGCTTGATTGGTTCGGTAATCAAACATAATCGAACTGAAACTTTTTGGTGTGTTCGATTACCGAACTCAATCCACACGACTAATATCGACACTTAAAACGTAATTTAACGTCAATGTTCTTTCTTTGTACGGTACTGGAAATTTAAACCGTCCCATTGCTGGTGACTGAAGCAGTAAAACTGAACGTGACATATCTCGTTCCCAGGGTTTTCTCACGAAAATCAACAACAATATGTCATTTTCATATTGTGTTCCGAGTTCGGATCGGAGTCGAGGAGAGCCACTTTTGTCGATCCAAAGTGACACATGCATAGCCAAACCCATCACACAAACCCACGGGTATCCACGAGTAAAAAAAAATGAAGAGGAAACATGAGAGGAGAAGGGCCGGAAAACAATCAAAGTAAAAACTATGGGGAATTCGTGAATACTGATTGGTTAGAAAATAGAGAAGTCATGCAATAGCCATTTGCGAGTTGTCTCTTGTAAATGGGTACGATGCATTTATAAGGTCTCTAAGTTACGAGGGGGACCACATTTTTGCTTACTGGTGTTTAAAATAAGTTATAAAATTGAAGCCAATACATAATATTTTAAAACCAGATGAAACTGGTTTTATCTTTGACTGTTTAAGTGTTCGATTTCCGAACGTTCTAATTGTTCAACTGGCAAAACTTTTGGGTGAGTTCGATTAAGTTCGATTACCGAATCCGGTCGAAGTCAGTCAAACGATTGGAGTGCGATTGGATTCAATTACCGAACGTTCGATTAGCTACAGTCTCAGTCAAAATTGTTGGGACACTTTTGTGTCTCCTTATCCCCTCAATGTTGGTGTACAAGGTTTGGTGACTGAACCGCGATAAACAACTTCAACTTCTAAGTGTCCCAACTATTTTTGTCTGAGACTGTGCAGGGGAGGAATTTGAAGGCGTGTTGACAGATACCGAGGTTAATCTCTAGGTCGGTCACAAGCGCCGGGTTTTGGGTTGTTGGGACGTCCACTGTGTTTCGCGAACGTTTCTATAGCAGTGAACTGACTTATTTTGGCATAACACAACAACACAAAGAATGTCCAGTTCGCAAAAGTGTTTTGGGGAAGTAGAGTATTGGAAAATAAAAAGAACCGAGTGTACAATAAACGGTACACAAATAGCTTTTAAGTGAACGATTGATAGCGTGACAATTATAGCACGTGCATACTATCTGCCTAAAATTTAGGGCTTTCACATACGGAGAGTCGCTCGAATGTGCCACATTTCAAGAGAAAATGTGTGGAGCATAATAAAGAAGGCCTTTTTGCCAAAAAAGAGTGTAAGGACAAGGCCCAAAGAGACGCCTTTCTAAGTTAAGGGCAAGAGGCA